TTTCATCATCGATCGTCAAACTCGTAGATTAATTTTCCAATCGATGCCTAAGTACAATAAGATTTTTCCGAACATTAGCACACGCTAGAGTGATTATAGAGGGAGTCTAATTGCATTATGAGGAGGTGGTGATGATTTGGTTTGAATTTAACGCTTTTTCATGTCGAATCATTGTATTCATTATATCTGTTTAAAGTGAACTTGCGAATCTAAAGTGCTCGGATGATTTACAATTTTCCCAAGCTCGATCCCCAACCTTCCGATTATTCGGCATCAATTGCGCATTTCAATTTACCAAAACAATGTTGTATTTATAGGGCGTCGAGCCCCATAAGATATTTTTAAACATTCCGAGTTTCGAAGATCACGGATAGTGATTTGTTTTCTACTTTTTTTTTTTTTTTTTTTTTTTTTTTTTTTTTTTTTTTTGAAGAATAAGTCTTTTGAAGTACGTTAATAGCTTTACGCAGAAATATTAATACAATATTGTTGGCAAATACAAAGTTCCGTGCATTAACTTTAAAAGCACTTAGAGATATTTTAAACTTAATTCTCAAGGCTTCAGCATCCAGCATCTTTTTACGCTATCGTTGTTCAAATGCATCAGCACTATTTGCTTGACGTTTGATACAATTTAAAATGATTTTTCTCATGCAAAATGCTCGATGAGGTTATTGGTTTTCAATCCATAATCAATAAATGGTTTTACAATTTTTATTACTTTGGATAAACTTTGAATTATGGATAAATGCTTAATAATGCAAGAAACAAAGTATAATTCATCGTAAACATTGACGTATTATAAGATTTTAATCAATTGTCCTCCGATTATTCAACATAACGTAATTATTATGCATTAACGTGTAATATAAGAAAATATATCTATTTACGTAATAAATAAGCGTTGAAAATAAAAAAAGCAGAATGAAAAAAAGAGCATTGTAATCGAATAAATAATATAAATTGGTTTAAAAAAAAAAAATTCATTTCATTTATCTCGATAGAGTGATTAATCAGATTTAAAGTAAATTTTATTCAAATTTTACCACACGCCTTTAAGATTTATTAGCTTTAAGATTCTTTATCTTTCTTCTTTCTTCTTTCTTTCTTTCTTTTTTTTTTTTTTTTTTTTTTTTTTTTTTTTTTTTGCAAAAGCAAAACAACGAAAAAATAAAACACAAGACGTATTAATGAAATAATAAAATCAAAGCTTCATTCGCTAAAATTGTATAATTAATATATCTATTGCATTCGAGTGATAATAAATTAAATGCAAGTTTATTTTATTCCATTGGCACGATTAATTATGTAGATTCATTATAAATTACTTGGTTCGACAGATATTTTATGTAACCGAGGCTCGTAGCCCGTTTTCATAATAGCTAAGCAAAAGTTGTTTTGTCAATAAAAAACATTTACAATATAAACCAATTTTTTTTTTTTTTTTTTTTTTTTTTTTTTTTTTTAACGATTCAAGACCTGTTTTATCGCCTTGTAAAGAAAAAAGTAACGAGCGAGCACAATGCGTGTCAATGCGGATCCTGAAATTAGCATTAAACGCACTGTCTTGCGTGTACCAAAGCACATTTTTGTTTAACCAGGGAATGGAATATTTTTTTCCCACCGAAGCGAAGATGGAATTTCACTCTCTTGTGGAATAAATCGAGATTCGATCCTTATTTGCGGTCAGAGTTTGTCGGAGCCAAAAATTAATGATGATTCCCCAAGCAATTAGGTTCGAGACGATTTAAAAAACAATTTATTCAATTTATACGGTAATGAGGTCATGCGCTGTTTAATATCACACACACACACACGCACGCACGCACGCACGCACACACACACACACATATAATATATAACTTTTAATTCTCATATTCAGTGTTTAAAAACATATGTCCTGCTCATAAAGGATCGTTAAGGATGGTATTGACAATCGTGCGCCAAAATTTTTTTATTCCGTTCTTTACGCCTTATTTATTACGCAATAATTGATTTTTAAAGCGAGTTTGGTATTTAATTCGAATTCCAATAGCAGCAGCAGCAGCAGCAGCAGCAGCGAAAGGACGGGAATCCTCAAATTGACCCAACAGTTGATAAGAATAATGATTATAGCAATTAAAAGCTCGAAACATCACTGTCCAACAAGTCAATGTAGCTTTAAAAAAATGATTTTGAGTCACGCGACTAAATTGCCAAGAGATACCAATGTGTTTCGTAAGCCGTTTCGCGATGAAAATGCATTTACACACAAACGCCAGCGGAGTAATTAACGGCGAGTGCCGTTCGCCAACGGGTACGATTAATTCGTGGACATGTAAAATGGTTTTATTGCGACAATTGTACCATTATCGATTAATGCAAATGAAACAACACCACGAATGAAACAACAACGCTTTTCTCCTCTTCTTTCCCCCCGCCCCTCTTTATTCTTGTTCCCAAAAGCCTTTTACCAATTCCGACATGACGAGATGAAAATACGATGCGAGAAGCGAAGCCTAAGCGCCGTAAAAGCAGCATAGCTCCATTTCATTTTCTATTCATCTCCATTTCTTTTCACATATCTCAATTCGCGCGATCATAGCGAATCGCCGCTACTTCCCTGGAAACAAACTTTCTTTTGAGACAGAGATGAAAGGCCGTGAGATAGGCCGAAAGTGGACCAATTTCCCTACTCTATTCCACGACATTTTGGATTATACGTACTATATATGGAATTTCGAAGAGTCGATAGTGCAAAATGGTATTACAAGGCTTTTAATTGCTTAAAAGTTAAGAGGCGCAAGGAGCTCGCATTGGCACGATATTAGCAAGGACAAAATTATGCGTGCGAATATCCAAGCTAATATCCATAAGCTTAGCTGATGAATTTTCATTTTAATACGTTTAAAGTTTCTTAAAGTGGCTTTACATTAAAGTGGCTCTGGCATTACGGCAATTTTTTGGGTGCGAGCATTTTTAATTTTTATAGATAATAGAGCATTTTTTCTATTCAACAGTATTCATCGTAAATTCAGCGGGATGATGAGAGATGCGATAAAGATAACAAAGTATCGCGTTGTTTTATTGTAATTGTTGTCTTGAACATTTGTTTCTACGAATATTATCACGCGCTTGTTAGACAAGCAGTTTACATTTACGTTGCAGCAAAAGTTTCTCGTAGCAACAGAATTGAAATATGTTTGGAAGCACTTATGCAAAAATTCTACGTAGTTTTTTTTTTGAAAATTACATAGGCGTTGCTATCATACAGGTAATAATTACAATCGATAATTAAATTTGCCTGCAATTCGTAAGTATTTTTCACACTCGTATTAAGGAATTTTCCGTCAGTAAAGCAATGATTGTATGTGCCATTGAAACACTT